GACTAAAAATAGTGTAGAATGTTTAGTTTTTTATCATTTTTAAACTAAATTTTAAAAATATAGTACACGGACGGGGCCATTTTATGTACATGTAAAGCATTCTGGGTAAATGATGATGTGGGTAGGTCATCGGTGAGAGGCTGTTAACAAAGATAAAAACAGACGCAGGCAAAAACATTACGCCGACCCATCGCTGTCATGATCTGTGTGTCTTTGCTTTAGTTTTCTAGTGTTTTAGTGTTCCCCTGTGTATCTCTGCCCTGCTCCAGYCCCGCCCATGCTCACCTGTTTCCCCTTGTGTCTCCTTCAGGCAACCCTCCAGGTGTTTCTTGTTGTCCTTAATTTGTTTACCTTTATATTCTGTGTCATGTGTTCAGTCTGTGTTCAGTCATTGTGCTGTGCTGTCTTCCGTGTTCCTCCTGAGACCTTGTAAGTTTTTGCTGCCATGACAGCCCTCTTTTTGTTCCTTTAAATAAAACTTTTTGTTGCATTTTGGATTTTGCCTGCGCCCTAGGTCACTCTGTCTGTGAACCTCACAATCACCTGTTGATGGCAGGCAATGAATAATGTGAAACTGTACTGACATTGCAGCTCTCGTTCTAGCTGAGTGTGAAGCAGCTGAGATGAAAACTTCCAATTCTGAGAGCCTCAGTCGTGAAAGGGTGGARGGGTCAGTGCCTAGAAAAGCTCACAGTTTATTGGTCAGTCTACTTTCTTACCCTCACCTATGGTCCTGAACTCTGGATATCGACTGAAAGGACCAGATCAGGATACAGGAGGTCTAAATATGTTTACTCTGCAGGGTAGCTGGACTCTCCTTTAGAGAGAGGCTGAGGAGWTCACTTCTCCAGGAGAGACTCAGAGTAGTGCTGCTGCTCCTCTGAGGTGGTTCATCTGGCAAGGAGGACCCCTGGACACCTCCCTAGGGAGGTGTTCTGGACATGTTCAACTGGGAGGAGACACTGGAGAAGACAGAGGACACTCTGGAGAGACTACGTCTCTCAGCTGGTCTGGAGTCCTCCCAGAAGAGGTGGAAGAGGTGTCTGTGGAAAGAGAGGTCTGGACCTCCCTGATCAATCTGCTGCCCCCGTGACCTGACTCTGGACCAAACAGAAGCGGATGGATGGATGGATGGATGGATGGATGGATGGATGGATGGATGGATGGATGGATGGATGGATGGATGGATGGATGGATGGATGGATGGAGAGAGAGATGTTTAGTTGAAAACACTGTGTGGTTTAAAACAGCTAAATTGGAGGGAAACCAACTTTTAAACTTGTAAAAAAGTAAAGTTTCTCTCAGTTTTCCTGTCTGACCAGTTTATTCTGGACCCTTTCTTTTAATTCAAAGTAAAATACTGTTTGATATCCTTCTCTCCGGGAATGAAAGCTGCCGATTCTTTGGTGCCACGGAGCAACCACTCCTGCGACCTGTCAGGCTGTGATCATTAGTCCCACTATGAGACTCCATTCAGAGAGAATTTATGAAGGGGTAACAGCCCCTCTTTTTCTAAACTGTCCGGTGTTTTAAAAACCAGCACGGGGCCGTGGCTGCAGAGTGGCATGTGGTGTTTCTGATGAGAGCGGTTTCCACTTTTTATTGGAACGTCACAGTCTTGTTTCAAATAGTTTGTTTATAAATCAGTAGATGTTTTATAGAACGGTTGTTACATKTTAGCGTGACCCTCCGAGGGAGGACATAAAGACTCCTGATGTGCGGCAAGAATGCTTTTGTTGACGGGGGAAACGATCCGAGGGCACCTCTGGGTTGGTTCTGAAAAATGGTTCTGATGTTTTGAAAAGTATCTGGAGGCAGCAGGGGTGGAGGGGGAAGTCAGTGTGAGCTGTGGGGGAGGATGGCTGTGTAGTTTGTTGCCATTCTGGTGGTACTCCTGCTTTTATCCTTCTCTGATGTGTGGGAGGTATGGCTTTCGTTCTGAACCCTCCATAAGACAACAACTCATTAATCTAACGCCAAATGTCTCTTCCTTCTTCCATTCTGCTGTTTAGTGTGAAGTTTTGCAGCTCGTCTTCATCGATTTCCTCTATACTAAAGTCTTCACACAGGTTACCAGTTTGTCTGTTGAGTTAAGAAATTGGACACGTTTTTTAACAGAACGTCCTGCTTCAGTTGAGCTATTTGTGTTAAAAGCTCAAGCTGCTAATGCTATTTTAAAATGTTACTAAAAAGCACTAAGCAACCCATCCTAGAGTAATATTGATAAATATCTYAAGCTCTCTGTTTACCGGTTGTTCTACATTCCTAACCTCACCTATGGCCATGAATTTTGGGCAGTGACCAAAGTTTTTATTTTAAAAAAATTAAACGCGATCCGAACCGCGCATTTGGTCCTGTCCCTCATCGAACACTGTGAGAGCCAGGCCATCGTCAAATATCCCGATTTATGTTACCGCTCATCTTAACTTATGTGTCACTTTGAAGAATTGAATTTGAGAATTTTTGAGAATTTTAGAGTTTTTTCAAATATGGAAACAGTATATAAGATTTTAAATGGTTTAGCACCAATCTG